ACTGTTTCGATGGTTTTATCTGATAGGCTTTTTAGCTAAGGCGTTAGCCGCCAGCTATTGGTATTACTTTAGTTAATGAGCTCAGATATTCATAAATGTCGATTTCACACAGACGGCCTCTAGCGGTAGTCACTGGTACTAAATTGAATCATATACCGGACCTACTGTCTTTATTATGCGTAACTTTGGACTCAAATGCACTTGAATGGCTTGTAAATATCATTACTTTTCTTTATAGAACATATGATCTTATCACAACGTCGTATTCTTATTGAAAATGCACCCTGTTTATCTCAATCGGGAACTGCTACTTGAATGTAGGTCATGCATGCTACACGCAACTTCCGGTAAAAATACTTCAGTTAATGAGCTCAGATATTCATAAACGAGACATAACGTCACCTTCTAGTAATACTAAACAAACTGCAAATAAAATCCATTACCACGGACTCAAGTTCACTCAAACGTCATTGGATATAATCTTATTCTTAGTTAGAACTAAGTATCCTTCTAAAACTTCGTATTTACTCTTGGAACTGTCGCTGGATTAACCCTTTACACGGAAATATTGTCCTGTGATTGGCTAAAATTGGTGACATTTACGTCCCTGTTTACAATTATATATTGCGTGGTCAGAGCTATGAAGCGGTCCTGTTCCAACTAACTGAGGATAATCAAAAGTGCTAATCAGTAATAATATATCTGATTCACGCTTCATATGATTATAATGTTATCAAAATATTGCATATTCGTTCATCGTTAAAATAACAAATCCTTACTAAAAACTCTAAAAAAAGAAACGACGGCCATGTTAGATCACGCGTGATGTTATCCGTTTCCTTATATGGCCTTCACGGCCAAATATAGTATTACTACTGATGCGGTCATGTTTACTACAATTTCCATATTTGGTCATGACACCCATATTTAGACGTCTGACCTATATCGGAAAGATTGAGGAAGTTTCCAACATGGCAGTCAATTAGGATTTCGCTTGCACTTGTTACGTAAACTTGATAATTTAACGAAATATAAGGCGGAGTATAACTTACAATTATGTAGGAGATCAACATAAAAAGTTCATATTACAAACCTATTAATGGATACGGATCCTGTCAATTAATTCTAAAATCGCCTCCGTGTGATTCACACCAGGCTTGCCTAACTAAAATGGGATCAACCGGCCGGGGCAGATGAGACCGGGAATCATGTTAGAACTAGCCACTGTCCTTCTCTAGTTCCATATTGGTATTCTAACCTGAAGGCTTTTTTTACCTTCGCAGTATTATCATTTTGTTCTATTTTCATCATAAGATATGCTATTGCATTTTTATATCGCCTTCTCGCTAATTACAGCTCAGCCAGAAACGAAAATATGCTCCGATAGGCCTACATTTTATATGTCTGTTGGTGTGATTTGTGTTTTTCGTTTATTGAAGTATTACCATATAACAGGACTCTTTTATTTCAATATACACAAAAACAACAACACCTTCGGAATGATTTCAGACATATACTGCGGGAAAACACGAGTGATCTCCCTTACATTTAGACATGCGCACATTTTACTTTCGTTTTGTGTAGGCCTAGACATCATTCGCAACGCGAAGCGGAAAAGACGAAAATGCAGGCGAGTGTTGACTTAATGTTAGGCATGTTGTTTAAGCAGCATTGACAATGAACAATATACATACACTTCTGCAACGTTTACCTACTACTGATTCATAAATAAGGCTATGTATCCCGATTTCGGTGACTTGTGGCCAAGCATGCGGCCGAAGCCGCAGAGAATGGCGCATGTTGTCAGCGGCGATGACAAAAAGGAAGGTGCTTCTACGGTATGTATAGCAGTTATTATGCAAAAACAAACATAATAAACGGACGTTTTACTCTAGTGAATTACAGCGTCACGAGGAACGTCTTTCTCCAGACGTGTTGCAAAATTTTCGAACTGCTTAGTTGCAAACTGATTTCACTTAAGCGTTGTTTGTGAGGATATTTGGCCTTACATTTCTTCTCATTCAGTTAAAAAAAA